TTTGGCCCTATAATGTCTCCTGGGTTCAGCTTGTAGTTTCTCCAAGGTAATGCTAATCATGAAGATGAGGACAAGGTTGGAAAGGAGAAGAATCACACATTTTAAAAATCACCAATGGCCAATTCTGCTTGTAACATGATGATATCAATTTGAAGGAGAAAATATATCAGTAATTTAGTGTACAAAGTGTGCAAGCACCATTTCTCATTTCTTGTCTCTCTTTTTTTTTTAAGGTTTTATTTATTATTCATGAGAGACACACAGAGAGAGGCAGAGACACAGGCAGAGGGAGAAGCAGCCTCCATGCAGGGAGCCCGACGTGGGACTCGATTCCGGGTCTCCAGGATCACGCCCTGGGCTGAAAGCGGCGCTAAACCGCTGAGCCACCTGGGCTGCCCTCTTGTCTCTTTTTTAGCCTGATTCACGTTGTTTTGTGAATCTCCAAATTCTTTTCTGAAATGAATCTTCCACCTGAACTACTGTCTTTGTTCTAACAGATGTTATTTAAATAGAATCATTCAAGAAACTTGAATAAGAGCTAAAACATAGAATTGGACTCTTGTGTCATGCAAAAATGAGTCATTATTTGGCTTATGGTGGCACAATATGTGCTGCTCATACTCCAGATGTGGTACAGCATAATACGAGAACGTCTTAAATTAATTAGCACTCTCAGAAACACAACAAATGTAGGAATCCAAAAGCTTTCCAGGGAGTAAATGGCAGTAAACATGCTTCTTTCTTCCTTCCTTTCTTTCTTTCTTTCTTTCTTTCTTTCTTTCTTTCTTTCTTTCTTTCTTTTTGTTGTTGGTGGGTTTTTTTGTTTGTTTCTATCTTTCTATCATGGAATCACTTTCTTGAGAATTGGCTCAGAAATCTCTAGTTTTTACAGAGAGTTCCTTAGCTGATGGTGGGGGAAAGGAGGATTTTATGACACCAAAGACCAGGAATTTTTTTCATGGCATCCCACCACCCAAGGCATATAAAATGACTAGAAACTCCAAGAAGAATGCATTGCCCTTCTGTGTAGTACACAGAAATTGTGCCAACGTGAGTCTGAATTTTATTACCCAACTCATTTCTAAAATCTCGTTCATTTTTGTCCAGCCACGTCGTCAGGCTAGGAATGCTTCTTTCCAAAAATGCACTGCAATAGAGAGGCTGTTCTCCAGAATAAAACAGCTGGAGCTTTAGCTTTACCTAGTGACCTGAGTCATGGGGCCTGGCTCCTATGCCTATTGCTGTGTGACCTGGAATAAGCCTCTCCCCTCCTTTGGATCCTACCTTCCTCACCTATAAAATGAGGAGCTACCCCACATCACCCCTAAGGATCCTTCTAACTCTAATAGTTCAGAATTAGGTTCTCCTTCCATTGTCTGACTGGCTGTGACAATTGTGATCTGCATTTAATGTGTTGATATACGGCCTCATGGCCTCTTATTTTCTGCTATGTGGGTCTTTCCTTCCTGGAGTCATTCAGCACAGTCAATGACATCTGACAAATCTTGACTGAGCACTGATGTGTGCCAGACTCTACTGTAGGTGTTGAATGTTGGGCACCAAATGCCTGTGCTCTTAAATTTTACAGTCTTGTTTGGCATAGGGTGTGGGTTGGGACAGAGTAAATAAGTGGGGGAAAAAAACCATGCAATACTGTGTTGGGCTGTCATAAGTGGTTTTATTTTACTTTAAAACAGGACAAAGGGGTGCCTGGGTGGCTCCATCAGTTTAGTGTCTGCCTTCAGCTCAAGTCATGATCTTGGGGTCCTGGGATTGAGCCTCAAGTGGGGCTACCTGCTCAGCAGGGAGTCTGCTTTTTCCTTTCCCTCTACCATTACCCCACACACACACACACCCTTGTGCTCACTCATTCTCTCTCTCTCTCTCAAATAAATAAAACTTTCAAAAAAAACAAAAAACAAAAAATAAAAAGCAAAACAGGGCAGGGACACCTGGGGGGCTCAGCAGTTGGGTGTCTGCCTTTGGATCAGGGCGTGATCCTGGAGACCCAGGATCGAGTCCCAAGTCAGGCTCCCTGCATGGAGCCTGCTTCTCCCTCTACCTGTGTCTCTGCCTCTCTTTCTCTCAGTGTCTCTCATGAATAAATAAATAAAATCTTAAAAACAAAACAAAACAGGGCAAAGGGATGGGTGGTAATGATGGGGTGGGGTCTCTATTTTAGGGTTAAAGAAGGTCGTTTTTTCCATTTTTTAAATTGGGGTATAATTGACAACCATCAATGAACAGTTCTTAAATGTTCAGTCAATGGGTTTTGCCAATCATTCAGACCCGTGGCTGTGTTAAAACATGTCTGAAAATTCTGTGACCTTAGTGACCTGATTCCAGTGCACAGAATGTGGTAGAATGAACACAGTATGACTTCTGAGGGTTTGAAAAGACAATACAGCTTCTGCCTGACACACTCTCTCCCTCCCTTCTCTTTCAACGCATCCACTACGTTGTGAGAAAGCCAAGCAGCCACAAGGACAGGCTAGTGTAGGTGTTCTGGTCAACAGTTCCATCTGAGGTCCCAGTCAACATCAACATCAGCTGCCAAATATATAAGTGAATGAACCTTTAGATAATTCCAGCTTCCAGCCTTCAACTTCTCAGAGATCCCAGTCATCACAGAATACATTGTTCCTACTGTGCCCTGTCCAAATTCCTGTCCTACAGAAACTCTCAGAGGTAATAAATAGTTGTTTTGCATAACTGAGTGTGGGGTCAATTTGTTACACAGCAAGAGATCACAGAAACATCTATGTGGAAATCACCACCAAAATAAAATATAGAACATTTTCATCCCCCAGAAATTCCCCTGTGCCCCTCCAGGCAATTCTCCCTCCACCCAGAGGTACCTCCCTCTAACTTTTACTGTCATGGATTAGTTTTGCTTATTCTAGAGAGGGAAGGCCCTCAGGATGAAATGAGTTTTGATTAGATACCTGCAGGAAGTAAGGGGGTGAATAAGCCAGGCAGAGATCCATGGGATGTAGGCAGAGGGAACAGCCAATGTAAAGGCCCCCAGACAGGAACATAACTGGGGAGTTTGAGAAACGTCAAGGACTAATGTGGCCTGAATGAAGTGAGGAGGAGCTGGGAGCTGGGAGAGGGAGCAAGGATCAGAGGAGGTAGAGTTGACAACCATGGTGAATAATTTCTGTTTTAATCTGGATAAGAGAAGAAGCTACTAGAGAGTTTTGAGAATAAAAGTGACATGGTCTGACTTATGTTTAAAAAAAAAGTCTGGACATTATGTGGAGAATTATGGAGTGGGAAAAGTGGAAGCAGGGAGAACCATGGCGTGTTAAAAATGATCACAAATTCTTTGCTGCTCTTCCCATCCAGAAGCAGAGTTTATTTCTTATTACTTGAATCTGGCGGGTCTTATGATTGCATTGACTAAAAGAATGCATAGCAGTTACTCTGTAACTTCCAAAGTTGTGATTTAAGAAATCTTCATTTCCCTCAGTGCAGCTCCCTTATAGAATCCATGCTGTGTAGCAGCCTAAGAAGTTAGGAGACTTCTGGAGAGTTGAGGTCCATGTGGAGGAGTTGAGGCCAGTGTGGAGCCCACTGGCTAATAGCTCTAGCTGAGCTCCCAATTGGGCAGTCATCACAAGCTGCCTGCCATGAAAATGAGGTCATATTAATCCTTCTAACCATCTTATGCCCCAGCTGACACCACATGAAACTGTAAAACTATGTGGTCAACCCACAGAATCATGAGAAATAAATAAACTGGTGTTGCCTTAAGACACTAATTTTGGGATTGTTCATTACACAGCAACAAATAACTGAAACAACCTGTTAGGAGACTCTGAATCTGGGTGGGAAATAATGGTGGCATGGCTGAGGGTAGTAGAAGCAGAGGCCATAAGAAAAGAGATGACAGGATTTGTTACTGTGGAATAAGAAAGAGAGAAAAGATATGGGTAATGCCAAGAATTCAAACCTGAACACTCGGAAAAATGGGGTAGTCATTTACTGAGATGGGAAAAGTGCTAGAAGAGCAGATTTGGGGAGAAATCAAGAACTCAAATTTGGACATGTTGAATGTGATATGCTGATTAGATTTCCCAGCAGGAATGTTGGGTAGGCAGATGGATCTTTGTCTGAAACCCAAGGGAAGAATTTGGGCTGGAGACCTAAATCTGGAAGTCAGTAGTATATAAGTGTTATTTAAAGTCATAAATATGGATGTGATTACTTTGGGCTAGTGTTAAAAAAGAAAAGGAAGAGTTCTGAGTACTGATCATCCAGGGAACTTCAATATTTAGAGATCAAAAAGATGGGGAAAAACTTCAAAGGAGACTGAGAAGAAGCTGTCAGTGAAATTAGAAAGAAATCAAGGGACTGTGTCCTAGAGGCCAAGAGAAGAGTATGTTTCAAGAAGGGAGAACAACTATGCCCGATGCAGCTGATGCACTCCTTGAGTGCAGCTACAAAGTCTGCTATTGTACTAATTATTTCATATTTGTTGAAACTTGCTCTGTGGCTGAGTATGCAATCAATGTTTATTAATGTGTCTTTCGCAGCAAGGGGTGCAGTGTTCTGTACAAGTCAGATAAAGCCCACTAATTGTGTTCAAATCCCTTATATCTTTCATTATTCTTTTGGTCTCTTTGATCTATCCATTACTGAAAATAGCTTGTTAAAATTACCCACTAATGGGTGATTTTACATATTTCTCTTTGTAGTTTTGTCAATTTTTTTCCTTTATATATTTTGAGGCTATGTTATTAGGGGCATTCAGATTTAGACTGTTTAGATTGTTATGGTGTTACATCCTTATGAGGTGATTCTTTATTTTGAGAAAAGCTTTGTGTCATAAAAATCTAATTTGTATAACATTCATATAGCTATAGTAGCTTTCTTTTGATACTTGTCAAATATATAATTTCCTTTCTTTTTCTTCTAGTCATTCTGTATTCTTATTTTTTATGTGTTTCTTTCGAATGAAAAATGGCCTTTAAAAAAAAAAAATCCAACCATCTCAGTCCAGGTGCCAGACAGAGTGAAGAAGCCATCCTGGACATCCAGCCCTGGTAAGCATTCAGATGACTCCAATTTCAGCCATGGCATTACCATATGCAAGATCCCAGGCAAGCACCACCAAGCTAATCCCAGTCAACCCACAGAACTGTGAGGAAATAATAAGTCATTGTTTCAAGCCATTAAGTTTTGGAGTGGTTTGCTATAATATCAATAAGTAACTGGAGAGAGAACTTTCTAATATTAGAATAAATAGAATAGTGGAAATTAAAAAAAAAAAGAAGCACTAATGATCTATGTATAAAATATTAAACTTCTGTTGTTAAATTTAAAAAATATAGAAAGATAGACGCATATTTGGCTTTCATTGTCATGAGAAACCAAGGGCTCTGGGGCCCATGTGCGCCACAATAGCTAGACACTACACACTCTTTGACGCATTGCTATGTTCACAAGAAGTTGGCAAGATCTCCAGGAACCTTTCTCCTTCCTTATCCTTCAGACAAACTACACACTAGAGTTGAGCCTGGTGGGTCTGGGACATAAGGGCTAGGCAACCAAAGGCCAGAGTAGAAATGCTTGAGGGCCTGGCCACAGAAACACAATATTTTTTATTATGGAAGTACAGTTGACATGCAATATTACATTATTTCCAGATGTACAACAGTGATCTGACAATTCTATACATTACTCAGAGCTCACCATAAGTGTGATCACAATGTTATTATAATGTTTTTTTTTTAAAATTTATTTATTTATTTATTCATGATAGACATAGAGAGAGAGAGGAGAGAGAGAGAGAGAGAGAGAGGGACAGAGGGAGAAGCAGGCTCCATGCCGGGAGCCCGACGTGGGACTCAATCCTGGGACTCGATCCCGGGCCTCAAGGATCATGCCCTGGGCCAAAGGCAGGCGCCAAACTGCTGAGCCACGTAGGGATCCCCTGTTATTACATTGTTAATGACTATATTCCCAATGCTGTAGTTTTCATATCCTTGACTTATTTATTTTACAACTGAAAGTTTGTACCTCCTAATCCCCTTATCTATTTCACTTGTTCACCCACCCATCTCCTCTCTGGCAACACTAGTTTGTTCTCTGTATTTAAGAAACTGCTTTTTGGTTCTTTGTTCTTTTGTTTTTTAGATTGCACATATAAGTGAAATTGCATGGTATTTGTCTTTTTTTTTGTCTGATTTATTTTACTTAGCATAATGTCTTCTAGGTCCATCCATGTTGTTGCAAATGGATAGATTTCATTCTTTTATGACTGAGTATTCCATTATATATATCACATCTTCTTATCCATTCATCCATTAATGGACACTTGGTTTGGATTAACTATTATTATTATTTTTTTTAATTTTTATTTATTTATGATAGTCACACAGTGAGAGAGAGAGAGAGGCAGAGACACAGCCAGAGGGAGAAGCAGGTTCCATGCACCGGGAGCCTGACGTGGGATTCGATCCCGGGTCTCCAGGATCGCGCCCTGGGCCAAAGGCAAGCGCCAAACCGCTGCGCCACCCAGGGATCCCTAAATATTATTATTAATTAAATGTTCCTTGTTCAAATTTTGCCTTCTGTCCTAATAATGCCCTCCCTCCATGGCAGACTTTTTCCAGACTGGGACATAATTCTGGATCACACATTTGCACTTGGTTGTTGCAACTCTTTATCCTCCTTCAGTCTGGGAGTGTTCCTAATTCCCTCCTTGTCTTTCTTGACCTTAACATTTTTTGGAAATATGGGTTATTCCTTCTACAGGATGTGCCTTAGCATGGGTTTGTCTGATTTTTTTCTCATGATTAGTTTTGGATTACACATATTGGGAGGAATAGCCCACAATTGACACTGCTTTCTTCTTGGTACATCAGAGGTGGATGTGTCCCATTGTTGGTGATGTTAATGCTGATCTCAAGTTTCTCCACTGTAAAGTGCCTATTTTCTCTTTGTGATTAATGAGTAATTTGAGAGTGAACATTTTGAGAATAGATATCCCACTCCTAATCAAATGTTCATACATGAACTTTAGCATCATCCATTGATGAGTTTTGCATCACTATTAATATTATGATGATTGCAAAAGGGTGATATCTTTTTATTTTTATTTAAATGGTGATATTTCTAACTGCCTGATTTCTTCTACATTTATTAGTTGTCATCCTAAGGAGAAATACATGGGAGAAAGCTCTTTTTTATAGTATAATGCCAGCTAATAATGTGTACTATATTTAGGCACACACACACACACACATATGTATAGTATACTAATGATGTATGTTTTTATATACTTTCTATATGAAGTTTACACTATTGACATTCTATATCTAAATTTTACATGTGCATATGTATGCTTTCACATACACATACATATATACACAGTGTGTGTGTAATTCTTATTTTATTTGTAAGTTACAATCTATTACTGTCTAATTATTTTGATGGTTAAATTGTCTCAAGTTTGGTCAGTGGGAACCTCTTCAAGATAGTTCCTGTATTCTTTTGATATATTTCCATGATTTTTAGAGTCAGTCCTTTCTTTCTGGCACAAGCTCTTCTTGAACTTTCCATGCCCCCGCACCAGAATCAGCTATTTCTCCAAAGTGCCCTGGAAGCTTATATGTTCAGAAATGCAACTAGATCTAATATAGAGCCAGAATTTTTTATGTCTAAAGCCTTTAAAATTGCCCCAAATGCTCTATTGGGATAGCCACAAAGCATCCCATCTTTTTACAGTAAAAATGGAAGTGTCCTTTCCTTCAGCACTGAAAACTTATCTCATTTAATTTTATTTTCTCTTAATTATTTGTAGTATAATATATTGTGAAGTACTCATTAAAAAGAGACTTCTGATGTACTCTATATGTTTAAATGTCTTATGAAATTTAGAACAAAATATAATATCATTCCCTACCTTTAGTTTTTGGATAAAATGAATACTTTCAGCCACACAATGGAGTGAGTAAGGCTCATTGAACACCTTCCTAGCCATCATATTGAGTACTGTTTGTACGGGGAAATGCTTTCTAAAGGTGAAAACTACCCATTAGCAAATGACTTTGAAAGATAAATTATTCATAAGATGGATTCAAAAGACAGTTGAACTAGTCATTGAAGTTTAAATTCTCCATTACTCCTGAAATTCTTTTGCTTCTATTCATCTGTAATTACCTTTAAAAAAAGATTTATTTATTTATTCATGAGACACACACACACAGAGAAAGAGAGGCAGAGACACAGGTAGAGGGAGAAGCAGGCTCCATGCAGGGAGCCTGACGTGGGATTCGATCTGGGTCTCCTGGGTCTCCTGGGTCTCCTGGGTCTCTGGGATCACGCCCTGGGCCGTAGGAAGATGCTCAACCTCTGAGCCACCCGCGGATCCCTGTAATTACTTTTATTTTATTTTTATTATTTTTTTAATAATAAATTTATTTTTTATTGGTGTTCAATTTGCCAACATACAGAATAACACTCAGTGCTCATCCCGTCAAGTGCCCCCCTCAGTGCCCGTCACCCATTCACCCCCACCCCCTGCTCTCCTCCCTTTCCACCACCCCGAGTTCATTTCCCAGAGTTAGGAGTCTTTATGTTCTGTCTCCCTTTCTGATATTTCCTACCCATTTCTTCTCCCTTCCCTTCTATTCCCTTTCACCATTATTTATATTCCCCAAATGAATGAGAACATACAATGTTTGTCCTTCTCCGATTGACTCATTTCACTCAGCAGAATACCCTCCAGTTCCATCCACGTTGAAGCAAATGGTGGGTATTTGTTGTTTCTAAAGGCTGAGGAATATTCCATTGTATACATAGACCACATCTTCTTTATCCATTCATCTTTTGATGGACACCGAGGCTCCTTCCACAGTTTGGCTATTGACATTGCTGCTATAAACATCAGGGTGCAGGTGTCCCTGCGTTTCATTGCATCTATATCTTTAGGGTAAATCCCCAACAGTGCAATTGCTGGGTCGTAGGGCAGGTCTATTTTTAACTCTTTGGGGAACCTCCACAAAGTTTTCCAGAGTGGCTGCACCAGTTCACATTCCCACCAACAGTGTAAAAGGGCTCCCCTTTCTCCACATCCTCTCCAACATTTGTGGTTTCCTGCCTTGTTAATTTTCCCCATTCTCACTGGTGTGAGGTGGTATCTCATTGTGGTTTTGATTTGTATTTCCCTGATGGCAAGTGATGAGGAGCATCTTCTCATGTGCTTGTTGGCATGTCTGTGTCTTCCTCTGTAGATTTCTGTTCATGTCTTTTGCCCATTTCATGATTGGACTGTTTGTTTCTTTGGTGTTGAGTTTAATAAGACAGTCTCTTCAATAAATGGTGCTGGGAAAATTGGACATCCACATGCAGAAAAATGAAACTAGACCACTCCCTTGCACCATACACAAAGAGAAACTCAAAATGGATGAAAGATCTAAATGTGAGACAAGATTCCATCAAAATCCTAGAGGAGAACACAGGCAACACCCTTTTTGAACTTGGCCACAGTAACTTCTTGCAAGATACATCCATGAAGGCAAAAGAAACAAAAGCAAAAATGAACTATTGGGACTTCATCAAGATAAGAAGCTTTTGCACAGCAAAGGACACAGTCAACAAAACTCAAAGACAACCTACAGAATGGGAGAAGATATTTGCAAATGACGTATCAGATAAAGGGCTAGTTTCCAAGATCTATAAAGAACTTATTAAACTCAACATCTGTAATTACTTTAAATTGCAAATCATCTCAAAGCTTGACTCTTGCTGTAGGTGGAAGGTATCCTTTTATCATGTGACTCAGCTCTTCCATTTTTTCCCCATGTTCTACCAGTGGTCAGTTCAGAAAATACTTGTCTAATGAAGTCGGGAAAAAGGGGGTTTTCTACCATGTCCCATAGTTTGGAGATTTGGTTTGTCCAAAATGCAAGGATGTGCAAAGAAAACAAGGTGAGAGAGGGTAATTGGTGCCACAGAGATTTTAGGGAGTGGTTCTCAATATGTGGTCCCCAGACCAGTAGTAATAGCATCTCCTAGAAACTTGTAAAAACTGCATGTT